TTTTTTAAATATATATATATATAATATAAATGAATAAATAAATAATAAATCAATAAATAAATTCAGTAATTGAGAACTATATCGAAAAAATTAAATTTTTTCTTTTTACATAATAAATGATCCAAAATGACTAATTTAAATAATCTAAATAAAGTTATTTGTTTATTATGTTGGTGTTAATTATAGATTTATAAATATAGATCCTTTAGCGAGACGAATTTTGGAAATTTATGTAATGTTACATATCTGATATGATTGTACATATGCACGTACGTACATACGTATATAACATTTCACTGATCATGAGTCAATCAATTTTATTTTTCATTTGGAAAAAAAAGAAAAATCTAATCAACTATTCTGGATATGATTCATTTTATACGTATAGTCCTATATTTTATTGTTATTAATGCATTTTCCTTACAATAAAGATTGGTCCATACAATACAAGTTATTATAGTCCAGGTTTCCGGAAAGTCCCCGATAATGAAAGAAAACCTTAATATATAATACGTACTAAACAGTAAAGAATGTTATGTGTTCTTTCGTTCGTATGACATCATTTAAAATTACATCCGTGTGAACTCTTTGTAATCTGCAATCTTTGTACTCGAGACTTAACTCGAGACTTACATTAATTTCTATTCTTAGCTGAACAAGTTTTAATGATTTGCTAATATCGACATCTACAAATCTACAATAATCTATATACAATATATATACGTTATATTATATTCTATTTAAATGTTAATATACATTTTAATTTTTTTAATACAACGACGTATTTTTTTTTTTTTTTTGATGATGATAAAATCAATCTAACCACACTAGGTAAGAATGATATATACGGAAAAAAGTCGGCACTGATCACCGCCACTCGGCGTAAAATAAGTTCGAACGTACATATTCAAGTAGATGCGGGTAGCGTGTGGTGACAAAGAAGAAATGAATCATTCAGGTAAACTCCGCGGCTGTGTTACATGTTTCGATTCGAAAATTCGAGGCTGTTACGTTTTGCATTTTTGAATCTGGATTTCGGGATTGCTTTTTTTGATTTAATCCATTTAGCAACCCATTTCAGCATTAGCAACAAAAAACGAATCTATCAGGTTTGAAAATTATACTGTTTCTTCGTGGATTAAATTATCTAGTAATGGTAAATAACGAAATGAGTTAAATGACTAAAGGTCAAATGAGTTAATGGCTAATCATCGGGTCAATTCAAAGGTTTAAGTATAAAATTTTAAATTTATTTCTATGACGCAAATCACAAAAAATAATAATTGCGGATTATTACATGCCTGGAAAATATATCGTATTAGAATCTAACGCTACATACTGCATTAAGTGAGGACGAAACAGATTATCATCCCCATTCTGGTAAATCTAATTGTCTAACTTTCCCAAGACTCAGTTTCCCGTAGGGAAAATTCGATTATAACAAGATTAGTCTGATTATTGGTCATAAATTATTTGGATTTTATGTAACACCTAAATTTATATATCTAGATCCACTATTATCTCGAAAATACCTTTTTTTTTGAAATCGGCGTTTAAAAAGGAGTATAATAATATCACTATATCAGATATATATTTACCCGTTGATTTTTAATAATAATATAAACCATACTTTTTTTATGATTGTTGGCTAGTTAAAGATCCTTCTCAATGTCTTTAACTGAGCTATCAACTAATTTCATGCACACACAACCTTTTCAAATTGGGTCGTTAGATTATGACCCTAAAATTCAATCAATATTCCCAACATACTCCATAAATGCCTTTCGTTCATCAAGAACTCCTATAACCTATGTTCACTCAAATACTGATATTATGACTGATCCGATTAACGCGAGAACTCAACCTGCAATTTTATATACTGAAACCAGTTTACATCGCCATGTCGATCTTGCTAACAATAGAACTTCTCCTATTCACCAAGCTAATTATGCACCAATTACGGCTGGTGAAAATCAGCAAATCACTAATTCATCTCGTCC